TGTGGTGCTTCAGATTTAAATAAATTACACTGGTTTGACATGATCAAAAGTTCACACTTGTAGGGTCAAATATACTCTTCCTGTCCAGTGTTTATGTATAATTTAATTTAAGTAAATGCATTTGACTCATTTGGCCGCAAGATGTCGGTTGTAAAAAATCAATGTATTTTAGTTTGTATTTTATCGTCTGTAGGAGTGAAACCAGTGGTTTTCTCAGACTGGGAGAAGATTGACAGTGAGGAGACGAGGAGGGGAGAAGCCATTGGAAAACCCAGAGAAAAACTATTGACTGTAGAGGAAATGCTGCAGGTGGCTCGAAAATGACTGAAGACAAGACAACAACAACTGTTTACAGGTGAACAACGGACACTGACTAACTGCTGCAGAATAAAATAACAGCAGTAACCATATCAGTGGGGACCTCAACAAATGACCATCATTGGCAAAGAAAAGAAATGGCACAATGGCATTATGAAGCACTCACCATGGACATAATTCATATTGTACACATGGTACATGTTTAAAGCTTGTAAGCTAGTAGATAGTTTTCCCCTGAAATTATTTGTCTCTGTGTTTTTCAGTTTTTACCTTGTTCATCAATATCAATCTTAAGCACTGAAAGACTACATTGTTGTTTTCTGTTGCACTAACCTAAAAGAAAACAAAACTATAATGGATGCTACCAGTAATTAGCTTATTGTGTACTGTAAGTTACAGTACTTTGTTGAAGAGCAAAAACTATGTGGTGTTGTTTTTATATTTAATACAATTGCATATAATGACCTGACCATCCATCCATCCATCCATCCATCATCAACCGCTTATCCTGCGTACAGGGTCACGGGGGGGCTGGAGCCATTCCCAGCTGACATTGGGCGAAAGGCGGGGTACACCCTGGACAGGTCACCAGACCATCTTGAATATATTTTGCACAAAATAAAATTTGGTTTATATTCTTTAATTCCTGTCTTGGAGTAGCATCTCCTACTGCTGCATTCTAAATATCTACTACTGTTCATTTCACAAACACAGGGAGTTTATGGACACTACATTTGTGTTAATGCAGTGTGAATGCTTTAACAGTCTTTTTTTCATCACTGCAACTCAGAATAGCATTAGGTGATGATAAATGTAAATAAAAACTACACCTGCTGACTGTTCATTATAAAAGCAACATTGTGGTTGTATAGACCTCATCAGGAATTGACTGTATGCACTACTTTTACATTACTTTAACATTTTTATGTGCATTGCATTTAGTTTGTTCATCACATCAGATAAAAAAAGCAAAAATTACTCACTGTATACTAAAAATATAGTAGCTGCTAGCAACATGTAAATCAAATGTTTGTGCCGTAGATGGTATGTCATATCACCAACTTGTTCCAGATAGATGACATTTCTGGAATTAAGGAATTTTTAAAAGACTTTGTCTGAAAACATAACCTTAAACACATGCTTGAAACTGAAGGAATATAGAAACCTTTGGCTAACCAAACAGAAAGGGTGTAGATTTTGGTAGAGACATGTCCCAACCAATATACCAATATCCATCATTATCTAGTCAATGTATTTGACTTTTAACAGCTCTCCTTCTTTACTACAAGTTCAGTACATTTTTAGGTTTTGAAAGATTTTGTCTATGATCTTATCTCACTGAGAAAGATCCATAAAAGGGCAAAAATGGAAGCAAAGACATGAAAGATGTCCTTCCTCTTCAGTAAGTTATGGGAGCAATAAAGGCTATAACTGGGAGGACAGTAACAACCACCCCTAAGGACACACACAAACAGTAACCCCACCCCTAAGGACACACCCATAAAACGAGATAAAAAAGAGTCTACAGCCATGTCGCTGGCTCTGTGAAGCTGTACTTGAGCTAAATGCTCACATCAGGACGCTAACAAGCACCCATTGCTAGCATGTTAGAGGAAAAGACGAGGGATCACCAAGGTTGGTAGGGTATATCGTTTGGGCACCATGAATATCTGTACAAAATTATGAGCCAATCTATTTAGAAGATGTTGAGATATTTCACAGGGTAAGTGAAAACTAACTAACACCTGCTGGTGGTGCTAACGGATAAGTCAGAGGGGTCGCTAAAGTCATCAGAATTGATCCTCTGGCAATGCTGAAAATGTGTGTAGCAAATTTCATAGCAATCCACCTAATAATTGATATTTTAGTCTGGATCCAAGTGGTGAACAGACAGACTGGCTGACTGCAATCCCTCAAGATATCTGATCAACATATAAAATACACTGTATTTTTATAGATTTTATAGCTCTGCACACCCACACACGTGCTTGCAGTTATTTTGGCTGATTAGATCTTCTCAGGTTGAAGGAGGGCAAAGCTGGGCTAGGATATATGTCAGGTCACCAACCTACATAATTAGCAATGATAGGAAGATGAAGCCTAATGAAGCTATGGGGCTTTCTTTCTATTTGTGGCGAAAGAGATTTGAAGCCTCATTGTTTCAAACTCTTTAAGCCCAGTGACATCTGGTGGTTTGCAAAACAAATAGCAGCCACTCAAGATTGGGGACCAAAGCACTACACAACACCTCACTGATTTCATAGTGTCAGTCTCATATTTCTGCAAAAAAAGGTCAGAGAAGGTTTTTATGGAATCTTAATACTGGTGGTCAGAAAATGCAGTAAATGCACACATCGTTGTGCAATGTTGCAATAAAATAACTAATAAAAACCTTGTCCCAAAAGCATACAAATGACATTTTGTGGTACAATATATTCACATTCCATTCTGAATAAGGAATACTGAGGAACCCCAACTTGTTAACTGTGGAGTGAAGCTGGCCAACCAAAGTCTGTCAGACTATGTGGGGTACATCCCAAGTCATGTATTTGATATTTCCTTGATTCTCGATCCTTGCTTGAAATAGAAGTAGTTCTGGTCCACCATCTTGCAGGCCGTCACAAAGTTGTCATTAGTGTTCTGAGGATCTCTCAGGAGCCACGAGCGAAGATACACGAGTGTCTTTTACTGGCTGACACAGACAACTTTCTTCCTTTATTAGAAACATTTTTTTCAGGATTTGTCATTTCCCCCATTAAGTTTCATTATGGATACCATTAAAGCCAGAGAGAGAGTCTGTCAGAAAGAAACACTTTACATAATTTACTTTTTCAACATTTCCCTTCAGTGTGAGACTGATAATTCCTGTGCTTCGGCTTTGAAATGAGTTACGTCATTTCAATTTCCCTGAAACAATTAGCCTAATAAATCATTTGTAATATCCAAAAGACACCATGATTATATTATGGGTAATTCCATGATGAACTTACAATCCCAATATCAATAAATGCAGACGCAACATAAAAATGTTTGTTTCTTCTCGTCTCACATCCACATTCAATGGTTGGGCAGGCCAGGTCACGAAATCAAATAAACACTGGTGGGTGGGTGAAATAAATGTGTCTCCCCATGTGCTGTGCGTATTTATGCACAGCAGCATAACGTCATTCTCCCTACACGCCGGATCTGTCAGGCTCTAATGTTAAGTGTTCTTTTACGCATCTAAAAGTTCTCACACACAGTCCAGGTTCATACAGTGAAAGTGTTTGGAGTAAAGCAGCCGTCCTCCTGATCAATCCTGAGCTCCATCAGAGCATCTAAACATATTTCAGAAGCTAAATGTTTTTTCCTCTGTCCTGTCATGTTTCTTAAGTTTTTCTGATTTGCTTCATAAATGTCCAACGTTATTTGCTGGGACATTACTGTGCGCATGGAAACGTTTAAAATTGCATTTGACAGCAGCAGCATGTCTAATCCTCAAAGTAAATTGTTAAAGAAAACATTCATACAACACAAATAATTCACCAGTAAAGCTACAGGGACTGGTAGAGGTGGTAAATCTGAGAAAATAATTAGTCCGGGGGGGTGGAAGACATGCGTAGAGAGTGGGGTGAGTTGAGCCAGTTTTTACTTTGTCTCATTTAAGTGAGCACATGACAGTAATATCTTAGATGTGGTGCATACATGGGAAGGTTCACTTTAGATCTAAAATAAACAGTTTTCAAAAATATGATCTTCACGAAAAAGTGTTTCTTGGCTCAACTTGACCCCAGTGAGGTGTAAGTTTAGCCACATGGGGATCAATGTCGTTTTAGTGCCAACTCAAATGTATTGCAAATATTGCAGTTAGATTTGAAATGTCTCCTAGTTTCATATCATTGTAGGTCTATTGTAAATCTCCCTTGCTATCTGACATATAGATTTAACCCATATTGTACATCTCCCACTGCTCTGTCCAAATCCACAAGGGAAGTTGAAGCCCTGTCAGTCTTCCATTTATAGAAGCATGGCATTATGGTTTCTGGTCTAAAATTCATGTCACATCATTTCAGTGATATGCAAGAATGCAGTGTAGAATTACAGTAAAAGTTCTCAGTACCCCCACCCCTAAGTCTTTTGGCTCAAATTACCCCATCCCTGCCATTTTAACAATCTTACATCATCCAGCAGTTTAGAGGTAACATCATGCATAGGGTATAGCCTCATGCTGTAACTGCCTAAAGCACTAACACACGGGAGATTGAGTAGTTTAAAACACAATCATGATGTATTGGTACAAAAACCACTGAAACACAAACATGATGGCACCCCTGTGTTTCAGTCTGGATTGTGTTCTTTGGCTTTCACGCATCACCCTTTTTCCTCCAGACAAAGGGTCATAAATATTTGGTTCACAGTTTGTCAGATCAACCTCTTCTCCAGATGTTGCAACACGAACAGTGAAGTCTAAAATGGTTCGTGAACAAAAGAGGGGCTATAAGTGCTCCGTTGAGCAGACCAAAGCAAAAATACCCAAATGCAACACTGCTGAATGTTCTAGGCGATCTCAGCTCAGTTGTTTTGTTGCAGTGCAAGTGTTGCATTACGAAATAAGCCAGAGGGGGGGGGGGAAACGCCACCCTGTTTCAGAACAAGGTCTCCAACCAATCCAGGTCTTTTAAAAAAAAAAAAGCCAACAAATATCAAGTTAATAGTTTTTATTGAAGTTGCATAAACACCTTAGTTGCATGGTTCCTTAAACTTAGTCCCATACGTTTAACTGCCTCTTAATATGGGGGTCTCACCACTGCATGGAGGCGCTGGCTTGGGTTGTCTGCAAGGGTCTTGCTGGCTGGCAAGGGTGTAGCTGGGTTCTTAATGGGGCTCAGGGTTACGCTGGCCATCAGGTTGGACTTTAGGTTATTGGCTGCGTAGAGGTTAAGCAGTTCTGAATGGTCTGCTTTCAGGGTTTTTTGTTTTTAAAAAACAAAAACAAGGCTCATGCTTCAACTTCCAATTCATTGGTTTCCAGTTGCTCCGAGAGACAGACGACATTTGATTGAATATTTGGCATTAAGAAATGGTGATGTTCCAGCTTCTCCAGACTTCCACACACTGTTTTAAGAATTTGCTGGAGAGGTCTTGCCAGCCGATGGAGGGGCGCTGGGGGTCTCGCTTTCCAGAAGAAGGGCGCTGGACAGCGTTGTCTCGCTGGCCAGCACAGGGGTGGGGGTCTCCCTGGCCAGTGGGGTCTTGTTGGTCAGCAGGGGGGCATTGGAAGGCATCGTGTTGTTGGGGGGTAGGAAGGCTGGCGGGGTCTCGCTGGCCGACACTGGGGCGCTAGACAGTGGGGTCTTGCTGGTTAGTGGTGGGGCGCTGGGGGTCTCCCTGGCCAGTGGGGTATTACTGACCAGCAGGCGGGCGCTAGACGGCGTTGTCCCGCTGGCCAGCATAGGGGTGCTGGAGGTCTTGCTGGCCAGCAGGGGGGCACAGGGGGACACTCTGGCCGGCACTGGGGCTTGGGTGCTCTCCCTGGCCGGTGGGGTCTCGCTGGCCAGCAGGCCGATGCTAGCTGGCGTTGTCCTGTTGGCCGGCACGGGGGCGCTGGTGGTCTCGCTGGCCGGTGGGGTCTCGCTGCCCGGCACCGGGGCGCTGGTGGTCTCGCTGGCCGGTGGGGTCTCGCTGCCCGGCACAGGGGCGCTGGTGGTCTCGCTGGCCGGTGGGGTCTCGCTGCCGGCACGGGGCGCTGGTGGTCTCGCTGGCCGGTGGGGTCTCGCTGGCCGGCACCGGGGCGCTGGTGGTCTCGCTGGCCGGTGGGGTCTCGCTGGCCGGCACCGGGGCGCTGGTGGTCTCGCTGGCCGGTGGGGTCTCGCTGGCCGGCACCGGGGCGCTGGTGGTCTCGCTGGCCGGTGGGGTCTCGCTGGCCGGCACCGGGGCGCTGGTGGTCTCGCTGGCCGGTGGGGTCTCGCTGGCCGGCACCGGGGCGCTAGCTGGCGTTGTCCTGTTGGCCGGCACCGGGGCGCTGGTGGTCTCGCTGGCCGGTGGGGTCTCGCTGGCCAGCACTGGGGCTTGCGTGCTCTCCCTGGCCGGTGGGGTCTCGCTGGCCGGCAGGCGGGCGCTAGCTGGCGTTGTCCTGTTGGCCAGCACTGGGGCTTGCGTGCTCTCCCTGGCCGGTGGGGTCTCGCTGGCCAGCAGGCGGGCGCTAGCTGGCGTTGTCCTGTTGGCCGGCACGGGGCGCTGGGGGTCTCGCTGGCCAGCAGGCGGGCGCTAGCTGGCGTTGTCCTGTTGGCCGGCACGGGGCGCTGGTGGTCTCACTGGCCGGTGGGATCTCGCTGCCCGGCACGGGGCGCTGGTGGTCTCGCTGGCCGGTGGGGTCTCGCTGGCCGGCACCGGGGCGCTGGTGGTCTCGCTGGCCGGTGGGGTCTCGCTGCCCGGCACGGGGGCGCTGGTGGTCTCGCTGCCCGGTGGGGTCTCGCTGCCCGGCACGGGGGCGCTGGTGGTCTCGCTGCCCGGTGGGGTCTCGCTGCCCGGCACGGGGCGCTGGTGGTCTCGCTGGCCGGTGGGGTCTCGCTGCCCGGCACCGGGCGCTAGCTGGCGTTGTCCTGTTGGCCGGCACCGGGGCGCTGGTGGTCTCGCTGGCCGGTGGGGTCTCGCTGGCCAGCACTGGGGCTTGCGTGCTCTCCCTGGCCGGTGGGGTCTCGCTGACCAGCAGGCGGGCGCTAGCTGGCGTTGTCCTGTTGGCCAGCACTGGGGCTTGCGTGCTCTCCCTGGCCGGTGGGGTCTCGCTGGCCAGCAGGCGGGCGCTAGCTGGCGTTGTCCTGTTGGCCAGCACTGGGGCTTGCGTGCTCTCCCTGGCCGGTGGGGTCTCGCTGACCAGCAGGCGGGCGCTAGCTGGCGTTGTCCTGTTGGCCAGCACTGGGGCTTGCGTGCTCTCCCTGGCCGGTGGGGTCTCGCTGACCAGCAGGCGGGCGCTAGCTGGCGTTGTCCTGTTGGCCAGCACTGGGGCTTGCGTGCTCTCCCTGGCCGGTGGGGTCTCGCTGACCAGCAGGCGGGCGCTAGCTGGCGTTGTCCTGTTGGCCAGCACTGGGGCTTGCGTGCTCTCCCTGGCCGGTGGGGTCTCGCTGGCCAGCAGGCGGGCGCTACCTGGCGTTGTCCTGTTGGCCAGCACTGGGGCTTGCGTGCTCTCCCTGGCCGGTGGGGTCTCGCTGGCCAGCAGGCGGGCGCTACCTGGCGTTGTCCTGTTGGCCAGCACTGGGGCTTGCGTGCTCTCCCTGGCCGGTGGGGTCTCGCTGACCAGCAGGCGGGCGCTACCTGGCGTTGTCCTTTTGGCCAGCACTGGGGCTTGCGTGCTCTCCCTGGCCGGTGGGGTCTCGCTGACCAGCAGGCGGGCGCTAGCTGGCGTTGTCCTTTTGGCCAGCACTGGGGCTTGCGTGCTCTCCCTGGCCGGTGTGGTCTCGCTGACCAGCAGGCGGGCGCTACCTGGCGTTGTCCTTTTGGCCAGCACTGGGGCTTGCGTGCTCTCCCTGGCCGGTGTGGTCTCGCTGACCAGCAGGCGGGCACTGGGGATCTTGCTGGGGGTCTCCCTGGCCAGTGGGGTCTCGCTGGCCAGCACTGGGGCTTGGGTGCTCTCCCTGGCTGGTGGGGTATTACTGACCAGCAGGCGGGCGCTAGCTGGCGTTGTCCTGTTGGCCAGCAGTGGGGCTTGGGTGCTCTCCCTGGCCGGTGGGGCCTCACTGACCGGCACCTGGGCACTGGGGATCTTGCTGGGGGTCTCCCTGGCCGGCAGGGGGGCACGTGTGCTCTCCCTGGCTGGTGGAGTTTTGCTAACTAGCTGAAAGGCACTGGACGATGTCATCTTGTTGGCTAGCAGGGGGGTGCTGGGGGTCTCGCTGGCCAGCAGAGAAGCACTGGTGGTCAGGCTGATCTTTGGTTTGTTCTTGGACGCATAGACCATCATCAGTTTGAAGTGGCCTGTGTTCAGAGTATTTTTTTGGCTCAGTTGGACAAGTGATGTCTCAGCTTCCACTTCAGTGGATCCCGGTTGTACTGAAAGACAGACATTACCAATTTAGAACTAAAATAAATCTAGTGATGGTCCATATTTTTTGGACTTCCACACATTGGTTGTGGCAGTAAATTCCCACAAGATTTTAAAAGCAAAAACTTGAACAACTTGAGACTTGCCCTAAAAGACCAGTATAGGATTTATTGTAACTGACAAAATCAGTTCTTACTGCATCTATGATATCATATGCATGTATATTCTATGTGTTTGCATGATATGGAAACAGCCACTGTAGACATAAGCAATGTAGTTTTAATTAGACTGTTCCAGTAGCAGGCAAAAAAAATAAAGCCTGGAGCAGCATTAAACTATATATTTAATTGTCCACATTTTGATTCTAAGAACAAAGGCTCTACTCCAACATGCATCTTACTGCAACAAACCTGTAGTACAAAAGAAATTCGGTTAGAGTCAGAATGAAGCTCTGAAAAGATTTTATCATAAGTGTTCTTACCTCTTGTTCTCCTCTGTAGAGCATCATCCTGTCTTTCATTTAGGCCACCAACTGGTAAACAAGAGCCTATGGACAGTGCACTTGCTGTTAATCCATGTTTGTACAGTTTGATGGCACAACATGTCACCAACTTGTTACAGGTAAATGATATTACAGGAATTAAGGATTTTTTTAAAGTCATGTTGAGGCACACTCTCATATGCAAAAGGATTTGGGCTGAAAACATAACTTTACTCCTACATTTACTATACTACACATTTCTTCCATGCATGCTTCAAACAGAAGGAATACACAAACCTTTGGCAAGACAAACAGTCATCACACAAATAAACAAGACCTGAACAGCTCCCATTGCTTCAGTCACCAAGAGGAAATGCTACCTGTGCCACATGTGAGGGTTAAAAAGCCCATCATGCTGGTGACACAGCTGTTGCTGATCAGCTCTAATTGGCTCTCACCTCAGAGGAGTCTAGTCTTATCTAGGTGCTAGTTGATATTCAGCCCTTCCTGTGACAAGCATGTAAAACAAATATTGCGCTTTAAAAACTCTGAGAATGTTGTATTTATTTAACATTACTTGTTTTGGATGAATGCTAAGGGGGGCAATTCTAATATTACATACAAGCTCACATGACATCCAAACACTAAGAAAGCACCATAAAAAGGTAAAACATGGAAGCAAATATATCAGATATTCTTCCTCTTTAGCGAGGTTTGGCAACAATAAAGGTTGTAATTGGAAGGTTGGCAACAACAACAAATAAACAGCACCCCCAAAACACACACATACACACACTATAATTTGTCTTTGGACTTATCTGGTACAAGAAGGAAATGTCTGGCCAAATTCTGATTCTGTTGTACAATACTTCCAGTTGATGCTCCCCCATTTATAAGTTTGGTAGGGTACGTCCATTGGGCACCATGGATATCTGTACAAAATTCTGTGCTAATCTATTCAGAAGATACTGAGCTATTTCAGTCTAGACCTAAGCAGTGAACAGACAGACTGACAGAACAACACTGCCATAGATACATGATGAACATATAAATTGTATTATTATAGATATTATAGTCCTGCACACCCATACAGGTGTTTGCAGTCTTTGTGGCTGATAAGGGGTATATCCCAAGAGTCTTATTTGATATTTCCTCACTTTGCGATGTTTGCATGAACCGTAATGTTGTTCTGGTCCTCCATCTTGCGGGCTGTCACAAAGCTCATATTTGAACACTAATTCTGCGTTCCAGACGGCTCAGAACATTTCCTTTATCAGTTGAAATTTCTGACTTTCAACCTCAAGCATTCCAGGTGTATAATGGTTCATGACAAGGAAAGTGAACAAAAAACATGACTGACCTTAAACAACTGATGGTTGTTTGTCAAGTGTGCACACAATTGAACCCTCAGCAGTGCTCTTGGTGAACAAGAACTTCCCTGTGCACAGCAACAACAGACAGGAGCTGGCAGAAAGCGGGATTTGGCGATGAAAAAAATCAAAGAAAAAACAAGCCACTACACACTGAAATGACTTTGCTATATTTAATATGAATGCATTTTGCCACATGACCATTAATCCCACTTTCTATACATATCTATTTTTCCTACTAGGTCCTTTTAGAATTTTTAAGGACTACATATACAATTTAAATTCATCTAAAAAAAAAACAAATTTGGGGGATAATTTCACAATTCTACATTTGTGACAATTTTGCCAGCCATACAATCGTGTTACAACACAGTTCATCATCCTTGCTTTGCAAAATGAAACCAAATGTTATGTTGTCTCTGGAGAAAGAGGTTGGGAATGAAGACATATTTTGCTTAACTCATTTGTGTATATCTCCCCAAAATGTCTGTACCACATTACAGAAGAAAAATACACGGTCCGTAGTTTCAACATCATTTTCACAAAATGTACATGCATTATCATCAATACCAAAGCAAAGTACTTCTTTAGAGGTGTTTAGAAGTGTTTCTTTCACTTTGGGGGGTATTGGGAGTGTTTGTTACATTGTTCTTAGTTAAGTAATTGAGTTCTTATCAAATTTTGTTGGATTCCATTTTTGTTTTGCCTTTCAGGGTAAAGGTTTTCAGTGAAACAATTTCTAATAAAGTGATTAGTGCATTTTCTATCGAACTAAAATTCCTTGAATTGACAGTGGGGCCAGTTGTGGTTGTATTGGATGACATGCCAATAATATTTCTTGTAAGAAAGACAAATTCTTGAGGTAGTGCTCTATTTAATTTAGTAAAGTTTGATTTTGAGAATCTGAATTTATGTTTGGTGCAAAATTGTTCATAGTTAAAAAAAATGTCCGCTGGTATCCATTAAGTCAGCTATGGACCATATAGTCTTCCCATACCAATCTTTAAAGAACAAAGATCTGCTGCGGTGCAAAATATATCTGTTGTTCCAGATTACAGAGGTGTGAGTTCAGAAGTTATGTACATATAACATTTTCCAATACAACAGTATTTGTTTGTGGAACTCTGATAATGATATAGGTAATTTGTCAATATTAAAGTCCACCATAAGAAGAAATGCCAATACAATATTTTTGCTCAGTCACTCTAGATGATGTTAGTCCATATAAATATCTGGGGGGTTTTCTTGATGGATTTTTGACCTACGAGGCTGGTATTAAATCTCTCGTTGATTCTGGCGGGAGAGCTCTAGGATCAGTTATTAATAAACTGAAAGTATGTAAGGATCTTGGATATTCTACATGTACTTGACTTTATGATGCATGTGTTTCTCTATACTGAACTATGCTGCAGGGGTGGGGCTTGAAAGAATCCAAAGCGGTAGATACCATACAGAATAGAGCCATACGATGTTTTCTGGGGGTTCATAAATTTGCTCCGATCCTAGCAATTCAGGGAGATATGAGGTGGGTACCAGGAGCTGTACAGAGAAAATGTGAAATGATATGACTGGAACCATCTAATCAGAATAGCAGAGAACAGACTAAATAAGAGAGTAGGTGGAGTAAAGCTCACAAAGAAGATTTATTCTATTTTTGAGGAGGTGTATATGTTGTATATCTACAGGAACAATTTAAGTTGTAATGTTAACTCGCTTAAACACAAGTTGTTATTGAAATTAGAAGAAAATGTTTTGAAAATGTTTTATTAAAGCCAAAATTAAGGACGTATATGCATATCAAACAGAACTTTAGTCCGGAATTGTATGTTACATCTCGTTTATCTAGAAGCCAGAGATCTTTGGTGGCACAGCTGAGATCTGGGATTTTGCCTCTGGCCATTGAGGTTTGTTGATTCAAAAACCGATTGTGTGAGCTATGTGACCCTGGTGAAGTGGAAAGTGAATCTCATTTCCTCTTGTATTGTACACATTATGATGATCTAAGAGAATCTTTGTTTCTGGATGTTACACGGCAAATCTCTGAAATATTTTGGTATGCTGACGATCAAAAACTAATATGCTTGTTTAACTATGATGTATTTAAGTTTGCAAACTTTGTCTCAAAGGCTTGGAAAAGAAGGCAAGCTAGTTTGTTTAACTAGATTTAATTTTTGTTTCTGTTTTGGGTTTATGTGGGTGGTTATCTGAGTAAATGTGAATGCATCTGTGTATGAACACATACATGCATGTATCTGAATACACATGTATCATTTATTATTATTCCACTTCTAATCCTTGTTTCTATTTTATCACTGTACATGATGTACTCTGGACCTGGCTATCTTGTTTATTTTTTTTCTTTTTCTGTATATTAATGTTGGTGTCTTGTAAACCCATGCGGACTGGGCGTAATCACATGCATGACACAATAATAAAGCTTCATTCATTCATTCATTCCAATTCTTTTTGAATTTTTTTGAATAAGTGCTTTGGAATACCACACCAAAAGGAGCTGCTGTGTTAGATTTTTGCTTTTCTACGTATAATGTTGTCTGTTTCTCCAAATGAAATTTAAGTTGATTTGGTTGATAGATTTTTTTAATGTTTTGAATGGCATTGGAATAAATAAATACAGAAATACATATCGGTAAACATTCCATCTTAGAAAAATCCGGTCTAGTATTGATAAGTCCCTTTGTAGCCATACATTTAGTCTTAACTTACATTCTTTAAATTTTTTTTCTACATTTAGAATTTAGATTCACATTCAGATCCCTGTTTGAAGACGAGTAAGATGTAAGTCAGGAGTTTGAAGTCTGAATTTCTGAGAGTAATGGGTCATCTGTTCTTTATGAATCTGGAGTCATGCCAGTTTTGGAATTGAGACGATAACCCCATGTCTACAGGTAAATATTTCAGTAAAAACTGTAAAAGTAGCCTGTGAGACTGTCTTTGTTAAGAGGGAGGCGACCAAATACTGCATCAAGACCTATAATTGTTATTTGATTATCACATGTTTTGTTTGAGGCCATCCTCTACTTTGGGAAGATGTTTGGTTATATCCTTAAAGAAAGGTTCAACATCCACGTTAGAAAATTTACAGCTAAACAGCTGGCTGTAGAATTTCAGGATTTCTGAAGAGATCAATTTTTCTCCTGGGATTTCTATATTATCATCTATCAAGGATCTGATGCTATTTTTTTTGTGACTTCTTTTTTTCCAGACTACAGAAATATGCTGAACTTTTTTTCCCCTTCCTCTATCCACTTAGCTTTAGATCTAATGAAGGCCCCTTAAGCTGACTGTACATTTCATCTAGTTTAGTTTGAAGGTTTAATATCTTCTATTGTCGGTATTTGGCAGGTGTTCATAGCTCATATCAGTAATTTGATCTTTTGGCAGTAATCATTTTTAAACAGACTGGAATTAAACGTCCAATATTTATGTGAATAGATACTGTTGTCATTAGGTTTGACTTGTAGTAAAATAACATTATGATCAGTTAGCGGAGCAGCCAATTATGTTGTTATCACTTGAGTGGGTTAATTTGAGATTGTCTAAATGTAAGCCAAAACAATAGTAGAAGTTTTCTGTTCTATACATGATAGTAGCAAAACCCTGAGAAATTTTTTTAATTCGAACTTGTTTTCAGTATTCAAAAACTCTGGAAAGTTGTGATTATAGTGAGATTTTGTCCATTAATGAAGGCATGGGGGCTTCTGAACACAGTCTTCAGACCTGCTTTAATTGCTTGTTCAATTTTCGTCCACACAGCCCTGCGTGCATCCCTGTCTTCTTTGGTGAGGTCCTCTGCGAAGCTGATGCTGAGATCCTTGCAGATGGGGTGAAGTTTGGTGATCCGCCAGAGTTCGTCCCTAAAGTTTAGTCTGGTGAAATGCGTGATGATCTGACGAGGGCGGTTGGTGTCCAGGATGAAATCCATCTTCTCCCTCCAGTGTGGAGCAATCTTTCCCAAAATATCAGAGATGACCTGTTGTCTTCTTTTTTCTCCTGTAAGCCATTTACTTTTTGGTTCCATCTTCAAGTTGTTTCACTTCGTCATGCAGTTTTTGGCACTCTTCTTTACA